GCAAAAAACAACAAAAAAATCATGGCAGACATCTTAGTTCATCTTTCTAATAAGCCTGTTGATCTGGTTTTCCCTGTTGCCAGCATCTCCATCTTCTACAATACAGGTGGTATTTTCTTCATTCCACCTCATGGAGAGGATAATTTTAAAGGTCAGAGGAAGTTATCTGTTTCTTTGAAGCATTTTCCAACAGTATAGATCTCGTGAATCAGATCTTCCTTGCAGATGATGCCATATTTATCAAGAGATTGAGCAATCAAACCACTTTCTGTCCAGGCAATTTGATTCTTACTAATTTTACCATAAACACACTTGTAGATTAGTTCATTTACTGACTTCAGGTTTAGGTACCCCCATGCAATGTATGGTTATACCATCCTTAGAATGTTAATTGAAGCCTTGTTGAGGTTAAAAAAGGTTCTGTTGAGGATCTGACAAAGATGAAGCTGCAACACCTTCTGGACCTTTGGGCTCAAACTATTGATACCTCTGATCCTGATGATATACGCTGATTTGGGTTCTGCAGGTCCATAGAAGTTGCCAGCTTTTCTTGCCATCCTAGTCATTCAAATTTCAGTTCTGTACATCTGCCGATATCCCTTGTGATAGTGTATAGCTTTTTTTTATAGATAAGTTTCTTCCTTGCCTTTTGAAGCATTTATGGGGCAAACTTCTTCTCAGGTGCCTGATCTTCAGCTCTGCATAATTCCTTCACTTTTTCTTAAGGGTTTCTGGCACAGCAGGAAACTTCTTTTTCCTCTCTTCAACAACCTCTTAATAATTATTTGAAAGGCTCATGTAAAGTCATAGATTGATTCGATGAAATAAGTTTTTGTCATTTAAAAAATAAAATTATTCTTAGTAGCTTTTTTCAGTGCTGATTAAAAGATAGATGTGAAATATGCAGAGAATGATGTCTGAAGACTTATGATAAAATGGACATGGAAACCACTCATTTAAAGAGTTTTAGGGCTAGAAGTCAAATCCTCTAGCATGTGATTTTTGTTGTACTTCTTTTCAGTCATTTACCTATGGGGAAAAATATATTTGGCAACAGGTTCTATTTTTAGAAGTCCGGGAAACTTGCCCTTTGAAAATGTTTTCATTTTTGGCACATATGTGTTTTTTAAGCAGAATGAAAACAGAAAGCAAAAAAGAAAACTATGTACAAAAAAGAATGATTTTTCCAGCTCCATGCAGCACAATAAGAAAGTAATCATTCAGTTGTGAATTTAAGAATGGATTGTTGCCTGGATTTTCCAATGATTTCCTTCTAAATGAGCATTTTTCTACTGAACTGAACTAATGTAAAGAGACAGGTTGTTCTAGTGCCAGAACTGAATAAGCAAAAACAAGATGGAGGCTGCATTTTCATAGGACGAACTTAACAAAATAATACCCTCTCTGTTTCCTTGCAGCCTCTGGGGTCAATTCAGAGGGTCCATATTCCCATTTCATGTCTTAAAGCGTGTTTTCTCAGCCTGACTTCTGATCACCACCAGAGTTCTATTATTGGCAGTTAGTAACAAAGATTCAACCCTGTGTCCATCATGCAACAAAGAAAATCTTTGTTACTTAGTGTAATTAATAGGTGAATTTCACATGGGTTAGTGGGAGAAGGAACCCCTTTGTCTATATACTCAGATGGATTCAGAACAGGCTGCAATGGATCCTTTAGACCAGTTAAGATGCCAGAACTCCAACAGAAGAAGAAAGATGGTAAACAAAGCATTTTTCTTGGGGTTCTGAGTCCTGTAACTATAGTCCAAGAGAACTCTCAAACTTTTCCCATCAAATCAGATGACCTTGAGAACTTCGCTCTATTTATACATCCTATACAGGTGTATCTTATCCTTCCTGCTTCTCCACAACCATATTGTCTTCACCAATCTCTAGTTAGATTTCATTAAAGGATAAAAAATAAAAACCTAATGTTTGACAAGCGCTTACCTTAGACTGTGTTGTTCAACCACTCAGCAAGTCTTCAGAGAATATATGGTAGACCCCTTTTTCAAGATGACAGAACTGGAAACTGAGACTTGGAGAAGATAGTGCTAATACTAGGCTTAGGGAACACAGATAGAAATAGCCAAGTCTGGAGTAAACCAAGGGCACTTGAACTCCAGGATTCTTAGATCACTTTTCATGACATTATCACCTTTTTCTTTCACTTTCTGAAATCTTACTTTAAAAATTATTTTTGTGACTCCACCTGTTTTTTCTTCCTCCTCCTTCATAAGAGAGGCTGAATTTAACCCACTTAACCCTGGACTTTTAATTTCCTGTCCACCATACTGGGGCAAATCCAATTTGATCACTCTAAGGTTCAGAGAGCTCTTAAATATTAATATTTATTACTTGCAATCAGGGTATCTCATACTTCTCTTCCCAGAGGCCATTTTGTGACTTCATTTTGCAAATGTATAAAAATTCTAAGATCAATGGGTTTTCTTCCTTCTGTTTCTGCCCAAAGAGAAAGCAAGCATGTGCTGCCTTTGCCCTCCCTGATGTACAATCTCTCTGATCTTCCATCACATCTTTACAAGTATAACCTCATATATCTTTTCCTAGGTTTGGTCAACAAATATTCAGGGCATATCCCACCAGGCTATCTCTCTCCTCTCTCCTCATGGGTATAATGGCTAGGAATGTTCAATCTTGTTGATTGGGGGTAGTTGGGTCACATTTCCCTGCCCTGTTGCCTTCCATGGTGGAAACGGCATCCACCCTGACTGTCTTCTACCCTCAGGAATCCCGACTCCCTTTTGTCTTCCTCTGGACAGGGATGTTCTCCATCCTCCTCCCTTTCACCCCTCCATGCACAGCTGTTTCAAAGTCTTCAGCTCCCTTGCCCTGTGTTTTCAAGGACACTTTTCTACTCCTGTCACTGGGCCAGCAACTGTCCTACCTCGTCTAACAATATCTCAAGGCTCCTAAATATTGCCTGTCAATGTCTATGGTACTCTTTATCCAATTTGGAAACACCCCGCTGCCCCCTATATGCTACCTGTTTCATGACAGGCTGCTGAAATGACAACTTTTGAAACTCAGTCCTACCATGGGTTTGTTCTGATTTGGAATGTACACTCACTTTTGCTCTGCCTAAGCTCCTGAGGACATGGGCTCCTGCTAGTCTTGATGATCCTATATGCAAAATAAATTATAATAATACAAGTGGGCATTAAATTGTAATTCTACAGATATGTGGAAATCAGAACCATTCCTTCCATGTCCATGAAAGTTCCTTACCCACAACATGTGCTATTTTTCAATCAATGGCCCTCTGTGTCTGTGCTGAAAGTTCAGCCCAGCATGGTGAACTTTGCAGGCATAGTTTTAATTCCTATCCTAACCACACCATTTATAGCTGATGTATTTCTAGGTATTTAAGTGTGTGTACATTTCCTTTCTTCCACCCCAAACTCCCCTCTTACATGACACTAACAATTTTGCTTTAAGGAAAAACTAAATTCCAATTCCTGTGACCATGAGTAGACAAAATAAAGTTGTGATCCTAATCTTCTGGTTATAGAATGCACCAGAAACCTGTGTCCGTATTTGGGTACTCGTTGAGCTAGAGAGAAAGCTAAAACTTACTCATAAGCGGGCCCTGAATATTGGTCACACTAGCACAAAGGTGAGTTTGTCAGACGCTGGACACTGATAGGGAGGTACAGAGAAAGTAGGGAGGGGAGCACATAGCAACACCCTGGGTATCTGGTCCACTGTCAGGAGGAGAGAGGACCAGCTAGAAGCCCAAACTCCACCTGTGTGGAATTTACCTATGTAGTAAATCCACACTTGGACTTCACAATTCTAAAATAAAAATAAAATTTTTATTATAAAGATATGAGGTACAATTCGGGGTTAGGAATACAAACATTAATAGAACTTTATTGGTCTATGAGATTCACAAGTCACAGACAAAAAAACACACACCATACATTTGAGAAATACTGATACCAAAATCATTTGAAGGCTCAAATTGACTTAAACATTCCTAACCTTGGTGGAAATGTTGCTGCTGCTGAATTGACAACCCGTGTAAAATCTCACAGGGTAAAAAAGTATATATTTACTATAATGCATTTCTTTCTTTCTGTCTTTCTTTTGGTTGGTTTCGGTGGGGATGTTCTTTAAAGAGCGTCATATAGATATTTATACATATAAATTATTAATGTGGGGAGGGACGGGGTATACATCGCAGAGGGGGCGCGCGCGGGGGTGGGGAATGGTGGGGACGGCACACGATGCTACTTAAAATAGCCACATCTAACATGAAACAATCACACCAAAGGGGAGGGGAGCGGCCACCGAGAGTGGGCACGGGCGAGGAGGAAAGCGCGGGGGCGGGGCGAGGAAGAGGGGCCTGGTCCGAGACACTATGCGCGTGCGTGGTGTCTCCGCCCTTGCCCCCGCCTCCGCACACCCCTCGGCCCCAGCCTTCGGTCCATCAGTCCTTACCCCGCTTCCTCCGCCCAGCTGCAGAGGCCTCGTGGCTTGGCAGCGCCAACTCCGGCGCTGGGGGCAGGCCGGGGCCTCCAAAGTCCAGGCGCCGAAGCCACGGGTGCGCTCTCGATTGCAGGCTCTACAGCGGCTTTTCGCTCTCCTTCTACAGGTGACTGTAGTAGTCCTCCTGGGCGAGCAGCGACACGCTGTGCAGCGGGTGGTGGGCGTGCAGCCACTGCTGCTGCTCCGGCGCCAGGGGCTGCAGCTCCCCTGACCGCGCGTGCAAGGCCTGCAGCTGGGGCGCCACGGACATCGGGTGGAGAGCGATGCCGGCAGGTCCCGGTAGGGGGCAGCAAAGAGCTGGTGACGAAGAACTTCGTTCTCCTGCAGAGGGTGAGGAAGAAGGGGGTTAGGGAGGGTCCCAGCTGGGTGGGGGTTCCGGGTAAGGTGAGACCCCGAGGCCAGGGGGTCAACGAGAGGGTGCACCGAGGCAGAGGCTGCATGGGTGGCGTCCTGCTGGTGCAGGTGCAGGTGCCAGTGGATGTGCGAGTGCTGGGGGAGGGGGGAGGGGGTCAAGTTGAGTATCTGCAGTCACGCCAGCTGGTGGTTGCCCAGGGGTGCCACCCTTTCCGCGTGCTGCCGCTCGGCCGCCAGCCGCTCCGCGTAGGACATGTCGGGACGCAGGGCTGGCCCGGCCACCAGCACCAGCCGCTCTCGCTCCAGGGGCCCCAGGCTCGCGTGGAAGGGGAAAGGGTGTAGGTCGGGCTGGCCAGGCTGCGGGGTCAGGCTCCCGTGTTGCGGGAAGGGATCCAGGCCCGCCCCGGGGACCCCGCGCAGGGACTGCAGCTCGCTGGGCTTCAGCTCGAAGCCGGCTTGAGGCGGTCGCGGAGTTCTCGTTCCCCGGCTTCCCGCTCCCTCTCTCTGGCAGCCGGGTCGGTGCTGTACAGGGCCCGGACGTTGTAGCCCAGGAGCCCCGGGTCCACCGCGCCCAGGAGCACGTAGAAGGGGTGGTTGCGGTTGCCGGGAGACATGACGTGAGGCCGGCGTACTCGCTGAGGGTACCAGTACCAAGGCCGGGGTGTCAGGCCCCAGGTAGGGGGGCGCTGTAACCACCGCACTGCCCGGCACAACGGAGGGTGGTGGGGCACGGGGCCCAGGGACTGACTCCACGGGAGCGCGGCCCTCCTGAGCCAGCTTCACGCTGCGCTCCAGCTCGCGCTCCTGCTCGCGCCCCCACTCGCCCTCGCGCTCCTTCTCCTCCCGCGCGTGCTGCTCGGCCTCGCGCCGCACCTTCTCCAGCAGGTCGGCGCTTCTTGGCCAGCTTGGAGCCCTCCAGCGGCACGCAGTACGGGTCGCTGCGCGCAGACGGGTGCAAGCCGCGGTCCAGGTGCTTGTTGAACCTGACCGACTGGCCGGCGTGGCTGGGCACGTCCATTACCTTGTGCGAGGGCGAGGTGCTGCGCGCCGGGGGCGCCGGGCTCTCGGGCGCCTGGTTCTCCTGGGCCGGCTCCTGCTTGATCTGCGCGGCGCTCAGGGCCGGACCACCTGGGACCGCGGGCAGCGGCGGCAGGTAGGGCAGGCAGGGGTGCCCCGCCGGCGGCAGCGGCCCCGCGCCCGCGGCGGGCGAGCCGGCTCGAAGGTCTCTGGGCCGGCGGGCGGCGAGGCACCTCGGTAGCCCGGCAGGGTCCCTGTCCGGAAGGCGGGGGGAGAGCCCGGCTTGTACCTGGGCGGGGTGGCCGTCTTGTAGGTCCCGGGGACGGGGCTCGCTTCGCGTGCGGCAGGGGCCTGGGCGGCAAGGCCGTCTTGTAGCCTACAGGCGAGGAGGCGACGGTGGTGATGACCGTGGAGAAGATGGCCGAGGAGGTGGTGACCATGGGCACTGGCGGGAAGGGGTAGGGCGCCCCTTGGGGACCCTGGGAAGGGGATGGGTGCGAGCAGGGGTAGGACCCTTGAGAGGAGGAGGACGACGAGTTGGAAGAGGAAGAGGGCGGAGGGCCGCCGGGGCTGGCTTGGCTGTAGGACACCTGGCCGTGCGGCGGGGGCAGGTGTGCTGGCTCGGGCGGGTAGGGCCTCAGAGACCCCAAGGAGGGCGACATGACATAGGGGTGCGCATGGTGGGAGCCACTGCTCTTCAAAGGGTGGGGAAACGCTCCGGGCGGGACCCCAGAGGTCCCGTAATGCCGCTGCTGCTGCTGCTGCTGGTGGTGGTGTGTTGGGGCTGGCGGGTGGGCACTGGCCTGGCCCCCAGCAGGAGGGGGGGGATCAGGGTGGGCATTGCTGTTGACCAAGGGGCGGTCATACGGAGGAGGCTGAGTGGGACCCTGGTTCCACACTGCCTGGGGCAGGAGAGAAGGCTGGGTGTACTTGGGGGGCTGGTTGGAGACGGAGAGGTTTTCTGGGGGAGGGAAAGGGTGAGGATAACTGGGCAGCACCTGGGAAGCTGGGTACTGGGCAGCGGCGGCGGTGGCGGCGGCGGCGGCAGTGGCGCTGAAAGAGGAGGCAGCACTGGAAGAGGAGGCAGCCGCAGAGCTACTGCTAGAGGATGAATAGGGATACGTCATGGGGGCGCTGGGGTAGAAGAGGAGGAAGCGGGGGGCAGAGGGTGGAGCGAGGGGACCAGAGTCGGGTCCTTCGCTGGGCCGGGAGAAAGTCAGCCCATAGCCTGCCCCATGGCATGGGGAGAGGGCTGATGCCCAGGTAGCGACTAGACCCCCAGGTCAGGAGGAGAAGCTGACGTGTTGTTAAGGTGTCTCAGGACAGGCAGGGGAGGCAGGTTCGGTGTCAGATGGGGGAAGGTGACTGGTGGTGGAGCAGAGGGCAGCCTCCCGCCACCCACTGGAGTGTTCGGTGGCTTTGTTGGGGGAGTGCTACCAGCCCCAGAGCTTGGTATTGAAATGGGGGTAGTGGGCGGAGGGTGCTGTTTACCTCCCCCCCAGGGACCCCCACTGATGAGGCAGCCCCTCCTGCCCTGGAACCTACTGGGGCTCCTGGACAAAACTCCTCCACTGCTCCTCCCCCCACCCCCCAGGGTAGATCTGCGGGTGAGGGTGAGGGGCTCCAGGCGGAGCCTGGAACCATCAAGGCGCGGAGGGCTCCATGGGAGCATGATATCCAGTGGGCGTCACAGGAGGAGGGGTTCAAAGCCAGGCTCTGGCTGTCGAGGGGTGCTGTCTGGCGGTGGAGGGGAGGGAGGAAACAGCGGATGTGGGTGGCAGGGCGGGCTGGGCTCTGGGACCGGCCAGAAGAGAAGTCGGAGTCATTTTCCATGCTGCCAGGGCTGTAGATGCTAGGGGGCCTGCTCCGGTTGTCCTGGTCGATATCCCTGGGGTCACTGCTGCCATCATCGTTGAGGCTCCGCCCATCCAAGCTGTCCAGGTCCAAGGGAGACTGCAGCCGGGGGAGCTCCTGCTCAGTTTGGGGCTTCTTGGGTGCACTGGTCTCCTCACTTTCACTTTCCGAGATCTCTTCACTCTGGAGCTGCTTACTAACCTTTGGGGTGGAGGCTTCCTCTACTCAGGCCTTCTTGGTCGTCTGCCTGGACTTCTCGGCTTTGCCATCGCTGCTGGACGTGCTGACCCTCCAGGGGAGGCCCGCCCCCTCGATCTCAGCTCTTCCCCGGGGCCCAGGGCCTCTTTCTTCCGTCCACTCCTCACTGACATTGAGTCTTTATTCTGTCGTGTCTTCATTCTTCAGGCTGTGGAGACCCCATTCTCCTCTGCCTGGGCAGTTGAATACAGAAACGCCTCTGCTCTACCCCAAGTTTCCCACAGCTGAGGCCCGAGAAGCAGGAAGCAGGATCTCCAAGTTTCCGGTGTAGGTCCCTGGAGCTTGCAGGATCTGGTGGGAGCTAGAGGCGCCAGCGGGCTCCAAGGGTATGCTACTACTCTCTCTTTGTTTTCCAACTTTAGATTGTACGACCTCTAAGCATATGCTACTACTCTTATCTTTTGTTTTACAACTTTAGATTGTACCTACTGAAAGATGAGAAACTTAGTTCACATTTCTTTATCCATCTACTCCTAAGTTTTTCCAGTCATATATTTTTTCTTCTGGTGGTTATCTTCATAATGATAAAGAATATGCTTATACTGTGTTTGTTATATGAATTTTTACTACCTTGATTCCTTGCTATAAAAAGTGAGAAATTTGCCACATCGGTCTGCTACATTAACGACTTCCATTATTTTTATGTTTTCAATTTTAGTACTGGTTAGATTCTCTTTTATAGTTATTGTTTTTCAAGTTTGTTTATATGTTGGCTCTACAAATTGAAAGAGCATTTGCATTATTCTAATTATTAAGTTACCCTTTACCGTAGAATCAAATACAAGAGGTCTACCTTTTGAGAGAGATAACGTAACCTAGTTTATTAAAACTGAATGATGATGCTTTAAGTGTAAGGGTCAAATGGGAGTCCAGATGCCAGTCTTCAGGACTTCCTCTTCTTTATTTGGCCAATAGTATCTTTACTTGTCAAGAAAGTAAACACAAAACATACATATCTTTGATTGTCTTGATTCATAACCACTAAGACATTTGCTTCTTGACTCTGAAGATGTTAATATTTTTAAAAGATCATTTTTTTTCTGGTCTCAATTATTTCCTTTAGAAGTCAACTTTTATATCCATTCCACTCAGACCTCCTCATTTTTTATGTTGGTTTCTACCAACATAAAAAAATGTGATTTATGGAAAAGATTGATCAATACAGCATGGGTTTGTGCAATGATATTAGAACTCTCCCTTTAATGAAAAAATGGATGACATGGCTTATGTACATTTGAGATAGTACTATTTTAGGGTGCATTTAGATATTTTTGTTCATCGTGTTTTTTTTTTTACAATTATTTTGGCTTTGTAAAATATTGAATTAAAATATTTTTTATCTTTTTACTTAGTTTTTTGGGAACAGCCTGGAATTGTTTTTTTGTTCCAGGTTCCATTCATTTTACTATAGTACCTGCCTTGAACCAGTAAAATTAAACATAAGATTCTGTTATGGTTAGCAGAGGGACACAAATGGCAGTGGAGTGGCACTTGCTGGCAGCGACTAGGTACCCTTCACTTTGTGGATGCAAACCTGTTACTGGGAAGAAGAGTTCAGAATCAAATGAGATGATGCACATGAACTACCTGACAAAATGCTTGACAACTTGTAGTCTCTCAATTGCTCTTATCATCTGTTCTCTCTTTCTTCTTTTTGGATGTGGGATAGTAGCCATTATATTGCTTGCTATTGTTTAATGCAAAGTCTTCCCATCTCCTATATAAGTATAATTGATATTGGTTGAAGGATTACTGTGCCAAACCAAGTTTTCTGTAGTATTATTTAATATTCACAACTCTATGAGGTAGTTTTTTAAATCACATTTTGCATTAAAAAGGGATTTAATAGTATAACTGGTTTTCCCAGTATCACATGGGTCATTAATAATGAGGGACAATTCAAAACCAAGTGGTCTGATTCCAGAGTTCATGCTTTTGACACGATAAAACCTGCCTTGCTCTATAAATATTTCATCATCTCAGTTTAAAAATATAAGGGAAAAATACAATTTTAAATATGCTTTTGCCTCTGTGATGTGCTTAAATATTACTATTACTGGCATAGCATCACCGTATACTGTCTCCTCTATCTGATACAAAAATTTTAGTGTTTAATGCAGTAAATGAAGACTACTATGGACTGAACTGTGTCCCCTACATTCATAGGTTGAAGTCCTAACCTTTCCTTTATTTCTCCCTACCATGCAAAGGTACAGTGAAAAGTTGGTCATTTACAATCCAGAAGGAGAGCCCTTACCAGAACCTGACCATGCTGGCACCTTGATCTTCAATTTCAAGCCTTCAGAACTGTGAGAAATAAATGCTTGTTGTTTAAGTCACCTATGGTATTTTGTTATGTTAGCTCAAGTCGACTAAGAAACAGACTCTGTCACTATTGTTTCATTTACAGTTCTTGTATTAAATTAAGATAAATAACAAGGGTATTTTTATTAGCATATTTTTCTCTCTTTTTTCTAACTTATTTTTTTTTACCTAGCATAAAATTTACTCATATTATTTTAAGTGGACAATCAGTGGTATTAAGTATATTCATAATGTTGTGCACCCATCACCACCATCTGTCTCCACAACTGTTTTATCTTGTAAAATGTAAACTCTATACCCGTGAAATGGTAATTCTCACTTTCCTTTCCACCCAGCCCTTGGCAACCACTGTTCTGCTTTCTGTCACTATAATTTTGTCTAATAGACCTAGTTGGTTGGCGTGGTTTAAGTTCTCTATTTCCTTACTTATTTTCTGTCTGGTTGTTATATTCATTAATGGCAGTGGGGTGTTAAAGTCTCTAACTATTGCAAAACTATCTATCCCTTCCATTTTTAGTGTTTGATATATTTTTTGATGAACTGTTTTGGGGTGCCTGCATGTTTATAATTCTTATATCCTTTTGCTGTGTTGAATTTACAGCATCCTTTATTTCCTCGTTTTTCTCTTGTCTGTTTTTTTCTGATCTAAAGTCTTCAAAAAATATATATTGATATAGCTATCCATTCTCTCTTCTGCTTACCGTTCACATGGTATATCTTTTTTTAAAATTATTCTTTCATGTTTAATCTATTTGTGTCTCTGGATCTAAAGTGAGTCTCAATGCCAACCATGGTGGTGCACATCTGCAGTCATGGCTATTCATGAAGCTAAGGGGAGAGGATAACTTGAACCCCAGAATGGGAGTCCAGCCTGTGCAACATAGCGATGCACCATCTCTTTATACACGATGGAATACTACGCAGCCATAAAAAAGAACAAAATCACGAATTTCGCTGCAACCTGGATGGAACTAGAGTCTATAATACTGAGTGACCTCTCACAGAAACAAAGATCCGAATATCACATGTTCTCACTCATATAATGGACCTTGAACATCCAATGTAATACTATAAGAAAATGACTGACGGTACTGGGAAACTATGGGGGGGGAGGGGGATGGGATTAACAGTAGCAAAAATTAAAAATCAAATGAGTCTCCTGTACAAGGCCTTTAGAACCCTGATAAATAAATGGTTGCTGCTTAAGTCACCTTTCTATGGTATTTTGTTATGTTGACTGAGGCTAACTAAGAAACAGACTCTGTCAGCATTATTTCATTTACAACTTTTCTATTAAATTAAAATAAATAACAAAGATTTTTTATTAGATTAGTTTTCCTTTTTTTCTAATTTATTTTTTTACCTAACATGAATTTTACTCATTTATTTTAAGTGTACAATCAGTGGTGTTAAGTACAGTCATAATGTTGTGCACCCATCACCATAAAAGCCATAGTTGGATTATGATTTCAATCCAGTCTGCCAGTCTTTATTCTCCATTTAATTGGATTCTGGTTTTTATTCATTTGGCCAGTCTTTTGATTGAATAACTTAATCCATTTATGTTTAAATTTACTATAACAAAGGAGTTATTTTTCACTCTTTGCTACTTGTTTCTCTATGCATAATTATTTTTTGTCATTTTCTGAATTATTGTCTTCTTTTGTGTTCAGTTGATTTTTTTGTACTAAAACATTTAAAATTCTCATTTTCTTTTTATATATTCTACAGCAATCTTTGTGGTTATCGTGGGGATGGCATTTGATATCCTGCAGTTCAACTACTCTAACTTGAATTTATACCAGCTTACCTATAATGAACTTAAAAAATCCTGCTCACTTACAGTTTTGTCCCTACCTTTTTTGCTTGGTGATGTCATAAAATGATACTTTTATACAGTGTGTTCCCCAAAGCATAAACTAATAAGACAGACCTAGTATTTCTGTGCTTCATTTTATTATACTTCATGGATTCTGCTTTTCATTTATTTATTTATTTTCAACACATTGACAAGGTTTGTGGCAACACTACTCCTAGCATCTATAACAGCTCTTGGTCACTTTGTATCATGTCTTTGTGGCACTTTAACATTCACAATATTTCAAACTTG